ACATTCTAAAAAATTAAAAGAAAAACATTTTAAAACTATATTTTTTTATTAAATATTTCATTAAAATATCATAAGAAAATATCAAAACAAACTCAGATATAATTATAAAATATTAGTGTTTGTCGATTAACATTCTAAAAAATTAAAAGAAAAACATTTTAAAACTATATTTTTTTATTAAATATTTCATTAAAATATCATAAGAAAATATCAAAACAAACTCAACTTTAATTTAAAAATTAGTTTATTTAGCTTTTTCAATAAAAAATTATTAAAATAAAAAATTTTAAATATTTTTTTCCTCTTAATTTTTCAAAAATCTAGTTGGCAAATACTTTTTCTTAATTATAATATTTAAATTGCACTTTTCTTATATAATCCAGGCTAAAAAACACTAATCTCCTTATTTATTTATTTCCCTTTTCCTTCTGCACTGCCCTGCGGTTCTGGATTTTGGACTAGTCCTAAAATTGGAGGGCCAGAAACAAGTAGGCTGAGCAAGTTCAGACTCTGGGACCCAGCCCAACTTGTTGACCCACTTTGATCTTCATTTGGGCCATGTACGTCTCGTTAGGGAAATAGGCAAGCAGTCCATTGCATCATTCATGCTCTGCCTCTTTAAACTTGATTTCTTACCAATTCCAATCCCACCCCCCATCCCGCTTCCTTTCGCTTGCAAAAACCCCACAGCTCATCCAAATCTCAGCTTTGTATCCCTAATCAAAAAAACCCAAGCATTCTTCATCATCTTCTCAAATTGTTACATCAAGGAGAAGAGGGATACTTATTACCTACCTATGACGAACACAAATCTTATAATAAGTTCAATTCAATGTAAACAGGATCAAGAGATTCAAGACCAGAAGATGTCCTTAAAACAAGCGTTCTATATCAAAGGAAGGAGCAGCTCAGTTGCAACCCGCACATAGCAAACACTAGAGACACAAAAACATGTTTTAGTTTGGATACTTCAAGGAGAAGAGGGATACTTACTAGCTACCTATTACCTACAAAAATCTTACAATCAGTTCAATTCAATGTACACAGCATCAGGAGATTCAAGATCAAAAGATGTCCTCAAAACAAGCGTTCTATATCAAGGGAAGGAGCGGCTCACTTGCAGCCCGGACATGACAAACACTAGAGACCCAAAAACATGTTTTAGTTTGGATACTTTAATTTGAATGAATTATTGTTAGAACACAAGCAATAGCAAACTTTTAAATCAAATGTAATGACAAAGTCCAGGTCCCCCACAAGGGCTGACCTCTATTGAGTTCTAGCATTTGAAAATGTAAATAAAGCAATGTTAAAAGTGACAAAGAGGATGCAATATCTTGCCAACGAATCCACTTCAATTATATTTAAATGATGGCACTGGAGGAGCATCAAAGCTTTCCAAAACCTGTCTTACTTCCACTACTTGTTGTCTCCTGCTTCTTTTCACCACCAAAATGGCCACCAAACCATGATGAAGAAGAAGATGATGCAGGAGATGTTGGCGGTGGTGTTGACCATACTAGGGCTTGACCTAGCAGTTGTCACATTGGAATTCCAGGCATAACGGCCACATTTGGTGCTGGCTGTTCCATCATGATAGGCATATTTTGTGGTGCACTAAGAAGCTTATTCAACATGATGCCTGCTCCTTCAATCAAAGCAAGCACAACACCAACAAAGATTGTTGATCTGGAAGCAGCACCAAATCCCTGACGCATTGAAAGAAAACCTCCAGTGGCAGCACATGCTATTATTGAGTTCCATGGATCCTCTTTTTATTGCATGTAGACCATTGTGCAATCAAATGTGGAGAAAAGACCATCCCAAACAGCATACTACATACTACCACCAACTCGAGGGGCATTCATACAAACAAGCGAGCTCCACTAGGAGAGTTATATATGCCTTTCAAAAAAAGGAATACTGCACCTCCAATAGCACCCATACCAAATGCACCTCCGATATCATCAAGAATACGGTCAGGGCAGGGCTCTCGAGATGTTTCTAAGGTCTCCATGAGTCACTAAGAATATGAATCTAAACCCTCAATATGTGAAATCTCCAACTCTAACACTCCCTAATAATAAAACCATGGCAATTAGGATACTAAATTCTAAAATGATAAATCCCACAATCAAAATATGAACTTGGTATCAAAAAAGGATAATGTTATGAAGCAATAAATTGAGTCTTTTTTTTTTTTTTTTTTTTAATGTTATGAAGCAATAAATTGAGTCTTTTTTTTTTTTTTTATAAATATTAAAACCAAGGGGAAAATGTTTATCAACCATACCTGAAAAAAGTTAGGAGGAAAAATATCTAAAACTTAGTTTTGAGTGTTTTTCAGCCTAATTTTTTGCAAGTTTCCCTAACAAACAGTAATATGTAAAACTGATATCAATCCGCACAACATCCCAAGACTTATTTGGCTCAAATTTCCCTACCTATAGCTCGACTTGAAACTTAATCAACACCCTCCAACCTAACATAATCATAAAACCCAATTCATGCGTAATTAACAAAGGATTAAAATTTTAAGGACAATTAAAATCTCAAATGATCCAAGATAACAATCATATAAATTATCCTAAGCTAAAACCAATGAAACCCACAAGAAAAACAACCAAACTTGTGAAGGGAGCCATCATGTTTTGCAGTTTCAAATAGTTTCCAAACCGCAGGAACCCAGAAAATCAAAGAAAAAAAAGGAAAAAGGAAAGAAAAAAAAAAAAACAAAAAGCAAAGTTCAACACGAAGAGTGAAAGGTTGATCTTTGCCTTACCTCAATGTCGATCCGAAAATTGCCCTGTTTGTTCTGATTCCAGAGTGGTAGAGAGAAGGAATTTGGAATCGCAGAGAAAAATTGTGGGCTACTTAAACCCTAGTAGAATAAAGGGTAGGACGGAGACCAAGAAGATTTTTCTATCGGTCCCGAATTTTCCTTTTTGGATGTTATCCATATGGGCTGGTTACCTTTGAGCCTTTTTTTCTGGGCTAACAATAGATTTTCGAGCCTCTTTTGGGCTTTGCTATCTATTCTTCTTTATCCAGGTCCATCTGATCTTCCTCTGTTAAGGGCAAGCCTAGCTCCTTGCTCTCTTGTTATGATCAATCCTTATCCTTATCCTTATAATTAATAGCACTTCCAATGTAGCTTTAATGGACTTAGCTGGCCCAAAATGGCAGGCAATGAAGACGTTTTATTAAGATTGATGTTGCTTTTGGTCTTTCACTTTCATACTTTTTCGTCACCAAAAAACTGCAAAAGACTAACCCTAATGAACGGGTGTTCCTCCCATCGTGCCCATGAATCCCTTCGTGGTTTTCATATTTCCACCTTCTTCTCCAATCCAAGATTTGTCAAAAACTACCACATGATTGCTCTTATTCATTGATAACCACTAAAAACTACCAATTTTTCGAAATAGAGAACTACCAAGTTGACCAACAAATGCTTCTTATTGTTTTTTCCTAAACAACGCCATGTTTATGGAGAAATTTATATGGCATTCAAGTGCCTTCTCCCACGAAGGAATCGTTGGTGCTTACCATTTAATCGGCCAGTTCTAACAAGATCTTTGAGTAGTGAAACACCCATTTCCTCACCTGAGTGGTGGTTTTTCTTAGTGTACACTCTATCTTACTTGGAACCCAGATTTGAATGGGTGTCCAAACAAGTACCAGGCATGCTTAGAGTTCAAGAACAAGTTTCGATAAAGAGTGTTCATGATCTAAATACATGAGTTAGTTATAGAAATTAATTCTTCGAGTTTGAGTGATGGTTTCATATCATTATCTATCAAATCTCTTTGAATGAAACATTGCACTCAATGATATTGTTTCAAAGGCTATTCATCCATGCTTAGCTCTTGTATCTATTTAGTCAAATATGAAGAGAAAACATATCCTGGAGAATGGCTTCAAAAGAAGTTATCAAAGATACAAATGACTGCAAAGATTCATAATTAAAGTCATTCAGCACAACGAGGCAAGAAAAATAAAATGGGTCTTTAAATCCCATTTGTAGATTAAATAAATCTCAGACTTGATAGTGTGGTTCTTAGTTGTGAAAAGGAAGATATAAGAGACACAATTCTCTTTATTAATTTGAATATGATCATGTTTTGAGTGCATGATTGTGCCTCGATTTTGAGATTACTAATGCGATACAAATGAAGTTTGTCTCTCTTTTCATTTAGTAATCATTATTTATTTAGTAGTGGTTTCATTTGCTTAGTGATTCATTGAGTTTTAGTAAGTAAACATATAATTGTTTTTGTGGTGAATACATATGAAACTTTATGGAGTTTAAGTAGTATATCTTACTTCTAGACATGATCTTATTAAGGTTTGCTTAAGGCTTGTTAGAGTCAATGAGATTTCTTTTACTTGGATTATGTTATAAGCATGTTTTTGTATATGAAAGCTTTGTTCACTATGCTTTATACATGTATTATGCATGGTTGTTGTTTTTAACATAAGGCTTGTGGAAATAGAAGAGGTTAATGAACCAGATGATGTTTCTTTAATGAAAGGTTGCTTAAAGCATATGTCTACTTGTTACTTTTGATGCCTCTTATTTATGCTTGTAAGATTATATATTAGTATATGAAAATTGAAAAATGTGAGAATAAGTCTCGTAATGGTTATTTAGCCATGTTGAAGAAAGAAATACAAAAATGGGATTTGGCAAACCCATTTGGAGATCCAATTGATGATCGTAGTTTGAATATAAACAAAAAGCGAAGAGGCCAAGTGAAAAGGCTCTCAATTTTGATAAGTCATGAAGGATTTTGAATCCTTGTTTAGATGCTATCTCTTAATGAGATAATTTGTAGAAGCTAGTGCAACTTTTTGCACTTGATTCATTCTTGCTCTGAGTTACAAAATTTATAAAAATTAAAACAAAAAATTAAAAACTATAATTATACTAAACTAAGTTTTATTGTCTTTCACTATTCTAAATATACCTAAAAAAAGCTGAAACAGGGAAACCTCACATAATAATATTTTTTTTCTGATTTTGCTTCTACTATGTGACAAGTGAAACATTTAAGTACTTAAATAATTTAGTGATATATATATATATATATTGAAAATAAAAAGTTTTGAGTTCCCGTTGTAGAACATGCAATTGAAGTAGATTAAAGGATGAGAGAAAGGATTGCACGAGTGCCATGGGTCATCAGATGCTGTAGACCGAGTAGCCATCATCTTCCTCTGATCCTCTCTTAATCTCCTTGTAACTGGATATGTAAGTGGGGCTGCGAAGAAGGGGAGCAATATCAACTTCCCTTCCTGATTTCTTCTTCACTTCAAAAATTTCTTGCGGACCACAGCGTTGAAGTGAATGCAGAACTTCCTTCATGGAAGGCCTTGAAGATGGTGAAGTGCTTGTACATGCAAGCCCCAGCTTGCACACCGAAGTCATCTCGTCCAAGTAACATGGATCGTTAATCTCCAGATCAAACAATTCAACCAAAGGCCTTTCCTCTGAGTAACGCTGCCATGCCCATTCTGCAAGGCTTGTGTTCTCATTTCCTCTGTTAGCTTCTCTTCC